TTTTTATTTAAACATGTTATTAATACTTATTTTAACCTATTTTCTTCAAAAAAATTCAAAAAACGTATAAAATAACGATTATGACAATTGTCACTTTTCAATGGTACATCTTCACTAAATTTTTATTTAAACATATTTTTAATACTTTTTTTAACATATTTTCTTCAAAAAAATTCAAAAAACTTTAAAAATAACGATTATGACAAATGCCACTTTTCATTGGTACATCTTCACTAAATTTATATTTACACATGTTATTAATACTTATTTTAACCTATTTTCTTCAAAAAAATTCAAAAAACTTATAAAATAACTATTATGACAAATGTCACTTTTCATTGGTACATCTTCACCAAATTTTTATTTAAACATGTTTTTAATACTTATTTTAACCTATTTTCTTCAAAAAAATTCAAAAAACGTATAAAATAACGATTATGACAATTGTCACTTTTCTATGGTACATCTTCACTAAATTTTTATTTAAACATGTTTTTAATACTTATTTTAACATATTTTCTTCAAAAAAATTCAAAAAACTTTAAAAATAACGATTATGACAATTGTCAATTTTCTATGGTACATCTTCACTAAATTTTTATTTAAACATGTTATTAATACTTATTTTAACATATTATCGTCAAAAAAATTCAAAAAACTTTAAAAATAACGATTATGACAATTATCACTTTTCTTTGGTACATCTTCACTAAATTTATATTTACACATGTTATTAATACTTATTTTAACCTATTTTCTTCAAAAAAATTCAAAAAACTTATAAAATAACGATTATGACAATTGTCACATTAAAATATTATCCTTAAAAAGATCATATAAAATAACATCAAAAAAGTTTCATAAAATCCACCTTATTTAATAATAAATAGATAATTTTAAAAAAATGATAAAAGATTTCACCTAAAAGATTGTTTATTTATCTAATAAAATTTACAATATAATTCCTCAATAAAAGATGTATTTACAAAGAAGATTGTGAAAATCACTAATAAATTATATTATAAAGAATATTACATTTTTACAATATAGCAGCATATTATTTTTTTTATTAAAATAACATCAAATAAATAAATTTATTTTCATTTGAAAATATAATAATATAAATAAAAAATATTAAATCATATCATGTTTATTTGTTGATAATAATAAAATATTTACATTAAATATAAATAAAATAAATTATTTTACTAAAATAAATAAATAATAATTAATACTAAGCATCGATGCAGAATTTTGACTAATTTTTAGCAGATTTATATAGGCTTAGCCGATTTTTAGGCTTAACCTAATTAGGCTTAGCCGATTTTTAGTTTTAGCCGATTTTTAGGCTTACCTAATTAGGCTTAGCCGATTTTTAGGCTTAGCCGATTTTTAGGCTTAGCCTAATTAGGCTTAGCCGATTTTTAGGCTTAGCCTTATTAGGCTTAGGCGTAGTTTTTAGCCGATTACGCAACACTAAACATGATCATAATACATAAATTACTATATTATAATAATATAACATAAAAATTATAATGTCTTACAGATAATGCAAGAAATTTCATAAAAGCTTTTAGGTTATTTTAATTACGATATACATTTTAATATATCTAAAATTAATTCTATATAGTAGTGTTTATATTTCTTTATGACCTAATTTTTATTATAATATTATGAATGATTATTCATGTCAATTAAAATTTACGAATTATAAGATCTTAGATTATATTTGAAAATCATATTATATTTAATAATAATAATTTTAACTAAAAAAAAAATAATTTTTAAAAATCTTAAGAAAATATTTTTTAATCCACAAGGTGGCGTTATTAGTAGCAAAAAATTTAGTAAATTATTTTTTTTGATATTTTGTTTATAATATTTATGTGAAGTCCTCATACCGCATTAGTGGTTATCTTATGGCTATACTACAATGATTACGGTTAATGTTTATATTAGATGAGGAGAATATTATAAACAAAGAATAATTTAAAAAAAGGATTCAAAATATCTAAAAATTTTCCTTTACAAATTTTTCTAAAGGTGGGTTCGGTTCGGGTTTGGTTCAGTGAAATATTTTTGAACTCGGGCTTGGTTCCTGGTTTAAGAATTTTTGAATTGATAAAAAAAAATATATATATTTAAATCATAATTAAAAAACTGGACATAAAATTGGTATAAAAAATAAATTTTTTATTTTATTTATTGGCAAGATATAGTTAAAAATACAAAGCAGTCATATATCACATACCGCATTAGTGGTTATCTTATACCTACACTGCAAAGATAAGGGTCAATGTTTATATTAATTGAAAAAAGGATTCAAAATTTTAATTTTTTTCTACTATATTATCGTTTTTAAGAGCGTAATAAATCAATAATCGCCATTTTTTAATGTTAATTTTTTTTAAAATTTCCCAAATAAAATCCTCAGAAGGGTGTAACTAAATGTAAATGATTAAATTAATATTTCTAAAATTATTGTGTTTTAAAAAAATAAGGAGAAAAGAAGATAAATTGTATTGCCAGAATCTCATTATCCAATTTTTTTTAGCCCTAATTAGCATCTGTTGGTTTGTTTGAATGAAAAAAAAAATTTGTAATCAAATTTCATGAATATTTTTTATATCGAATGAAGTATGCCCAAGGAATAATTTAGGATTTTTAATCTAAATTTATGAAATTTGTCAAACGTTTATTTTTAATGAGTTAGCTAGCGGTTCTAATTTTTTTTTTAAAAAATGTCTTTCAAAGTTCCCCAAATGTCGAAAATTGTAATCAAATTTCATGAATATTTTTTATATCGAATGAAGTATGTCCAAGGAATAATTTAAGATTTTTAATCTAAATTTTATGAAATTTTACAAACGTTTATTTTTAATGAGTTAGCTAGCGGTTCTAATTTTTTTTTAAAAAATGTCTTTCAAAGTTCCCCAAATGTCGAAAATTGTAATCAAATTTCATGAATATTTTTTATATCGAATGAAGTATGTCCAAGAAATAATTTAGGATTTTTAATCTAAATTTATGAAATTTGTCAAACGTTGAGTTAGCTAGCGGTTCTAATTTTTTTAAAAAAAATGTCTTTCAAAGTTCCCCAAATGTCGAAAAGTTTATTTCCTGTTTCTTATATTTGACGTCTTTCTAAGTAGCCCGGCATTCACCGTTTGAGCGAATTCGCGGCAATAATTTTTATATACTTCACCGTGAATTTCAACTGTGATCAGATATATTTTATTGTTTTTTGGTTATATTATGATTATATATTATATTCAGAGACCCCCGGCCCGGATTTTTTTTTTCAAAAATTATTTTCAGCCCGGCCCGGGTTTGTTTTTAAAAAAATTTTCAGGTCGGTTCGGATTTTTTAAAAATATTTTTTATTTATTTTTGATCTTTATATAGCTAATAATGACGATTTCAAAATTTGGTTTTAAAATATACGGCCTGGCCCTGCCCGGATATATATAAAAAAAATTAAAATCCGGGCCTCGGGCCTGCAGGTCTCTGATTATTATTAATATATTTAATTTTATACATAATTTCAAAACAAAAATAAATTCATAAATTGAGACCAAAATTCAATTTATTTGTAATGTTTAAAAAAAAATCAAAATTTTTTTTGTTATATCTGCAACAAGAAAATAATTTTTTTAAATATCTAACGAGCCACATGTCTTTGTTTTTCGGCTAAATCAAGATTTTTGCCAAAAGCAAATTATCCAAGCTTGGAGATTTCGCCCACAGTTGGTAGAAAGGGTTGGACATCTGACAGAATGTAGAGGCTTAGGTTATAATACTTTGGTTAAAACCTAAATAGCCATTTCTAAGAATCGGCTAAACCGAGCCGTTTCGAGAATACCTGCCCTATTATTTAAAGGGTTTCTTGGGCTGAATATGTCTAAGGCTTTATAGACAGATGGCAATGAATAAAGAGATAGGTGTCATTTAGAAATGTGTATTAAAAAAAGAAGAACCATAAACGTCATTCAAAAATAAGCATTGTTGTTAGATTCTGTGTTACGTATCGGATTCTAATCCAAGTTTGTGCAAAAAAAAAAGCTATACCCGACCCTACCAAAATACAGATATTAGGGCTTGTTTTCATTGCCGTCATTAGCCATTACTATCTCCTAATGCTCAACTTAAATAAAAACGGAATTTAATAATTTTCGGGGGGGGGGGGGGTTCTAGTTCCTTCCCTTCCCCTGCGGTGACGCTACTGTTAGCTTTTATTTAATATGTGGTGGGGGGGGGGGGGAGTAATAATTCCTAACACCTAAGATAAATATTTTAAATTAGTTATGATTAAAATCGGCCAACTCAATATTTTATCCAAAGAAATAATAAGCAAGCCTGAAGATTTTACCCATATATACCACAAAGGTTTGGGCATATATTAGGGAAATCTCGAGACTTGTGCTTGATTATTCTGGCTAAAATATTGAGTTATAAAAATCAGCTCAAATGTAACGATTTTGCATCACTAGCCAGGAGTAAGCAAGATATTGGGCTATAGTTTTTTTTAAAACTTATAAACTGCATGATTATAATAAATGCATCTCCATCCCCAGAGGTTAAGAATAATTATTGAGCACAGTAGAGAATTTTTGTTTTTATATTCGGTTATGCGCAGTTGAATTAGTGTCGTGTAATGGTGTACAAATTTAATCCTCATATAAAAATAGCCCTTTGTGTGTAAAAAGAAAAAATAATTTTTTAAAACACTTCCTTTTGTCTCCCGATTAGGTATTATATGACGTATCGTTGAACAAAGTTTTAGGAGGGAAGTTTTCTGCTTTTAAATTACCACGGTATTTACTTTAAAGAAATTAATAAATATGATTTTAAAGAAGGTTCTGATTGGCATATAAAATATAATCGGTTTTTAGTGGAAAACGACTAATCTTATACCAATTCATATACCTATACTATAAAAGTGTACATGTTACAGGTCCAATATTTCATCTTTTTTTTTAAAAAAAAACTTACCCACACAGAGATTATCCCACGGCTATGACAATTACAATAACCCTCCCCATTCCCACAACAACACGAATCAAAGTCAATCGACGACGGCAACCCATCAACTCTCGCAAAACAACTTGACCAACAACAATGAATACTCCAAAAAATATTCTCCTCAATCGTTTTCTCCCCTGGACAATAGTAGTTCTAAGAATAACAGCGGCTTTTCTCCGAGAAGCTTAGACATTTCTTCTCCCAAGGCCGCCAACGGAAAAAAGATTACCATGAGTAACAACAGCCTTAATTCCATCAAATCGACCGATCACAAAACCGGCAAAAATAAAGTCTAAAAAATAATGAGAATATCATTTATAAACTTATGTACAAGAAAAACGGTTGTATTTGAAAGAGATAGATTACGGAGACGTGAGAATTGAGTTTTAAAAAGAAAATTAAACATCAAGCAATTGAGGGCAGGGGGGAAAGAATATTTAAAATGAAGAATTCCTACTATTTATCCCAATAAAAAAAACTAACCACCCCTCCCTACCCCCGCCTTATCGTTTCATAGATTATGATACCGCAATTATATTTTTTTCCTCTCTTTTTTCCACCTTTTCTTTACTTTTCATCTTTCTTCTAGAAAGATCACAAAACATACGAATTAAGTTTCGTAATTTGATCTACTTGTGGACTTTATTCATTTTTTTCTTCTTTTTAATCAAAAAAATAATAAATTTTTTTTATAGAACAAACCTTCCGAAGTGTCTCCCATATTTTTGCAATTCATCGACTGCGTCTATCAACTTACACGTCAATTTCCTGCCGCTTTCGAATTCGACGAAACCCTGCTCATTTATATCCTTGACAATCTGTACGCTTGTTTGTACGGCACCTTTCTAGGAAATACGGAGAAGGAAAGGGTTAACGAATTGGTAATTAATTTTTTTTAAATTGACTATACTACCGCATTAGGTTGTCATGGATTAGTTAAAGTTAACTTTGTTTTATAAATCATTTTCAATATAATAAATCTTGTCTTTTTCAAAAAAAAAACAAATTAAATAATAAATATTATAGAAGGTGACCCAAAACACGTATTCCTTGTGGTCTGCCATTAATTCCAGCCTGGAAGATTTCACCAATCCTTTCTACAACCCTTATTTACCAAACTTAATTCTATATCCCATCGTAACTATAAGGCATTTAGAATTTTGGGACTCTTATTACCTGAGATGGAATCCCTACACAAAATGTCAAGTAAATGTTAAAATTAAATTATTATATGGAGGTCTGAGTAATGATTTAAGCTAGAAAAATTATAATTTAGGGTAGAATTCGAGGTCGGGGCGTCGCAGCCCGTGTATCTTTATGAAAGCATTTTCTGTCTCTGATATTTTATATACGCTATCCGCCACTTATAAAGTTGTTTATAAACGGGAAAAAAAGTCATTAAATTGCCTAATTAAATGCTTTAAAGAAAATTTGCCAAAATATATTTGCATAACTTGCCGACATTGATATGATACTTTCTTAGAAAAAAACTAATTATATAGATAGAGAAATAAATAAAATGAATTTATTAAAATATAAATTAACGATCATCTTTGGAAGAAAAAAATAGTAAAAATAGAAATAGAGAAAAAATTAAAAAAAAAAATCAATTATTTCTCCACAAATATTAGGAACCAGTACAAGCTCGCTACAAACAATTGAACGTGATGAAACGGGAACTTGAGCGGGAGGTGATCGAGTTGACGGAAAAATTAAAGCACCTAGAGCATTTGAAATTGACTTCCCCCAAGGTCGATGAGGTAAACCAATCGAATCATTCGGATAATCACGATCATAATACCCACGAGGAAAATCAGGATTTCGAAAATATTCCACACCATCATGACAGAAACGGTAACCGGAGTTATAACGGAAATAACAGAGAAATTAATAATAATAATACCAACGGTAGCGGAATCAATTTTGATGGATCTCCCTGGACCCAATCTTCATTTTGAAGAAAAATGGAGTCTTTTTTTTAAAATCTTTCTTATCCCGGAATTTTTCCTAAAAATTTAATAATTATGATAAATAGGAGAAGGGAACATTTTCAATTTATCAACTTTAAAAAGATATGAAGCCCCATTAAACCAAAATATTTAATATATTTTTTGATATAAAGAAAAAACAGTTTTTTTAACCAGTTTTATTAGTTATTAATATTTTAAAGGAGACATTTTAGTGCTTAAATCACTCATATTATATAATGTATATTTCAAATTATTATTCTGATAGATTTGTGCTAGCTAGTTTATATTTTGAATCATGGACGTTTGAAGCGTATAAAGAATAAATGATTGAGGATGTCTTATTTCAATTTTTTTTACAAATTTATTTGCCTATCCATGACCCTGCCGTAAATAAAAACTACTCTCAGATAGACTGCGAAGCGCAAATAAGCCTAAACGAGTACGAATACTATATTAATACTCGTTTTTGGATAGCTAATTTTTAAGATATCTTAGGATTGGTAGATGTATGAATGAAAGTTATAGAATTTTTGATATTTAAATTTATTTCCCGCGTCACGTCTACTTAATTTTTTAAAATTTAATTTAAAAAAAAATATATATATTTTGTAAATCAATTCAAATGTAAACCTTATTATTATCATTGCAATTATAACGACATACTTTTTAAAAATATTATTTATTTTATATTCTTTTAAAATTTTTTATAATATAATTTTAAATGTTGATTATATGTATGCTGTAAGTTTTTATCGCCTATTATATTAGATATATGGTTTTTCGATGTATTTACCAACTATTACAACTGTTCATGAATTGTGTGAATATTTGCTATATTACAAATAAAAAATTTTTTTTGGTATATTGTTATATATTATGCTTAAATATTATAATTATTTTATATAAATATCTCCAGCAATAAAAATTTATAGTACATTTATTTTGATAAATTATCGTTTTACGTAGAGAAATATTGTTTTTATTGGCGCAGTTTTTATCATTGTGGCTTTCTTTGCTTGTTTGTAGGATACTTTTCTCTTATTGCAGGAAATAAAACTTTCTTAAAAAAAATATTAGTAATTAAAATCAAATAAAAGTAAATTATAGATTTTAAACCGTTTTACAGAATTCGTCTGTTATTAGTGGCTATTCCCCGATTTTAAGAATTGAATTATTTATCTGCATCTATCGGTAATGAATCAAATTTTTTAGGATCGATGTTGATTTTGCTCACTAAATGTTAAGGAGTTGGAAGAAACAAATTATTCTCGGGATGGGCGAGGTCAATATTTTATTTGTAGTGAAGAGATCAGTTTCAGGCCGGACCTATTTATAAATAATTTCAGGTTCCGAATGGGTAAGCTAATATTTTTTAAAAACGGTGTAAATTTTTAAATATGATCATTCAATGTGAAATTGATATAATATTTTATAATTCTTGCAAGAAAAAGGCGTCAATATATATTTTTTATGTCTGCTATATTTTTTCGACAAATAAAAAAATATCGTTCTTTTGATATGCTTGAAAATCTAGGCCTGGTGCAGATCACTAGTGTTAATCTTGAAACCAAAATTATAACATAGCCAAATGTCTTCAATAAGTGAATCTAAACCTACAATATTAATCCCAAGAAACCTCACTTACGGACCCATCTTAGGAAATAGGATAGGCCTATAAAAATAACTGCATTTTATCATCACTAAATTAACTGTTTGGACAAATACTTTTCTTTATATACTTATTCTAAAATGTGAAACATATTAAAGATATATATCTCCATTTATAAAAGTTAAATAATACTACAGATGTGATCATAAGTGATTTTTATATTTATTAGCTTATTGTGACATATATTTGAATATTGTTATGTTGGGTTTGGACCGATGGGTCTCCCAGTCTGAAGGGGAATAATACAGTCCGTGATCGGGGGTCCGGGATGGTCAATGACTGGATCCAGGGGGCCGGGTTTTATCGATTTAGTCATGGAATCACTTGGACAACGTAAGTTTTAAAGTTTATTCGAATCAGAGAAATTACAATTAAAAAAAAGAAATTCTATTACAAAAAAAAAATATTAAATGATTAATGGTGTTTTGTTTTCCACCTTTATAATTTTTAAAACAAAGGGGGAAAGACAAAGTTGTTATTTAATCGCGATATAATCATTCATGAAACTGGTAAGAACCAGTTTCAAATGCAATATAAAAATAAGGTATAATATATTAATTTCATAACAAAATAAAAGAAGATGGGAAAACAAAAGAAACAAGGAGAAACAAAAATAAAAGAAATAAGGGGGGGATAGAATTTACAGTTAAGAATTAATTTAACTTTCTAGAGTGAAAACTAAATAATTTAAAAAATAGAAGAAAAACAGTAAGAAAATATAATATGTACCTTGTGGATCAAAATTCGTAACACATGTTAATAAATCTCTGAAATGAACGAAAATTCTATTGATTATGCTGAGAGCATTTATTCAAATATGAATGATTTATATAGAATTGGATTAAAGTTTTATAAAGGTTACATTTTGAGATTTTATAAAAAAAAATTAAAATCATTTATTCATATTATTAGGAAGATATTTATTTTTATCTTTCATTATTTTAATTAAACTTTAGATATATTACTTATAATTTATAGCTTTTTAAATGCTTACATGCTAAAAAAAATTTCTTAATTATCATAAATTTATTATATTTACTTTTTCTAAAATAAGTATTTTTTTTCACATAAATTTTAAAAGTTATATTATCATCTTTCAAATATTTAATAAAATATTGCTATTAAAATTTTTCACATGTATTAAGGCATTTAAAAGAGTGAATTTTTAAGAGGTACAGTTGTATTTAATGCTAAAATAATCTCATCTAATTTTTAATTATATACCTAATAACAATAGTAAAATATCCTTGGAAATTCAAAGGTAATTATTAAATAAATCTAGCAGATTTTCTTGGATATATTATTATTAAGCATTAAAAAATATATGATCAATAGTATTTCTTCTAATAATGAGCTTTATTTTAAATTAAGCCCAGCTCAACCTACTGAACCTTACTTTTTAGAGATATCTGATACTCATGGTCAGTATTGGTATCAGCTGATACCTTAAATGTTAACCAAAACCAATAAATTATTGTTTATTATAATTAAAATTTCAGAAATTAATTATAAATGATAATTAAATAAAATATATTAATATTGATGAAATAAATTCTTTTTTTTTCCACTAAATATTATATAACTAGCTGATAGCCCATCAAGAATGATGGAAAATCAAAATTTTCTCCTTTATTATGATGGATGAATCAGAATTAGTAATTTTAATTTATGTGCACTATCAAAAATCTTTATAAAAATTTTGTTTAAAAGATTAACATATTTTATAATAATAATAATGGAAAATTTCTGAATAACACCTCATAAGATAATTTCTGATTCATTCATCATCAAATAAAGGAGAAAATTCTGATTCCCCATCATTCTTGACGTATCAGCTAGTTATATAATATTTATTGAAAAAAAAGATATAATCTTGAATGTTAGAGTTTGATATGATGATTATCATTGGACCAAATATGCTATAATCATTTTTATTTGACAAATATTCTTTAAAAAAGCACTATTGGCTAAATTTGATTGACGTTTTTTGAGGATTATTATAATTGATTAGTTTTGGTATTGACCAACACTGTGTTAGTATCGATGTTATCAGTTTACAATTGAGGCATCTCTTTTTAGGCTTAGGATTCATGAATAAATAGTATTGTTAAATAGCACAATTTAAGTCGATTTTTAAAAATTTAGCCAAAATAATATTATGTAATCCTGGAGATTATGCTCATATGTTGCAAAAAGGTTTGGACCTCTATTTGCTAATTATTGAGGCTTACATTAGAAATATGAAAATCAGAGTCCAACCTGGCTGGATTGGCCAAAAGGGTTTTAGGTCAGGCCGGGTCTTATTTTAGAAATAATTTGAGTTAGGGCTGGGTTGGGCATAATATTATTTAAAGCCGGCTCGGACTTAAAATTTTAAATATGGTCCTTATATTTTGTCAAGTAAATTAATATATTTAAAATTCCTGCAAGAAACAAGGCACTAATATTTTTTATTTGTAGAATATATTTTTTTAAATTTTATTTTGTAGAAAAAAATGGTAAGGCCATACATTTGAAATATCAAGACAACTTAAAATTAGTGGCCTGCACAAAGCAAGTTCATTATGGTGCTTACAAACCAGAATTTAATAAGGATGTAGGTTATTTCAATATCATCGGAAATGATAGAAGGTATACACTATTTAGATAATGCTAAAAAAGAGAAAGAAAAGTAGGAAATATATTATGATATGGTGTTCAAAAACTAGGAATGATCATATAAATAGGGGGAAATTTTTTTAAACAAATTATTATATTAAATAAGAATTCAGATAAATAATGTGATTGTAACGCCATTATCTGTAGTTTAGCCCTAAACCATTATATTATATTAAATGAGATCTTGTTAGTTTATAAAACTAACCTTTGTCAATCAATTTTAATTTATAAGTCATGGATTATTATTTATATATCCACTTAACAATCAGGGAAGCGTGGAAATGTTTAGGAGATATGTCCAAAATGGACGCCATCTTAACGTTCGTCAAAATTCTGCGAGATAATTGCCCCACGTTCATGCCTTACGCCCTGGCCCATTCGAAAGATGTAGAAAATCGTAATCATATATCGAAGAAGTTTTTTTTTCATTTAAAAATATTATTTTTTATATATCATTTAATTGCATATTCATTCATTCACGTGCAATCCCATAATGGTTTTTTTATAAAATTCTCAAATTAAAAATTAATGATCAAAATCTCGACGATTAAAAATTATTAACACAAAAATAATATAATTATTATCAATATTTTTCCAATTAATCAACAATAATCTGGCTGTTGATAGGCGTTTACAAAATATTTTAACACAAATTATGAATAAATTGATAAAACTACGATATGCCACTCCTTTATGGGCACGTGACTTATTCATAATAAAAAATATATACGATACATGGTACATTTATACTAAATTTATGATTCTAAATATATATATCATAACCTATAATATTGATTACATAATAAGATAAAAATATATAAACTACAAAATAAAAATTGTGAGCACTACCTATGATGTCGCCGATTAAATATTATAAAATTCCTACATAAACTTTGTTGAGGAGAAAAAACATGTGGCAAATAACAAAAAAATATTTGCAATTTCTTAAAATAACATAGAATTTCCCAGAATTCCTCAGTGTCCCGGTTTCCCGACCTCGATGGGATTGTCGCAGCACCTTGTAATTCAGATAGAGCCGTTGACATTACCACATCTAGCATATCCCGTTGATTATATTGAGCCCTCATGGCCGCAATATTCGTCTTGGAGTTTCCCGGAATGGTGAATAAGGCCGACGTTGAAGTGCTCGTACCGGGGCGTAGCGAGTCGTTGGCGATCCCGAGCATCTTCACTGGCTACTCGTTTAGTCACTGAACTGGAGTCTATCATTTATTATTACGATCTCCCAGCGGTAGCCTTCCATCACGCAATTGTAATCCGCACTGCCCTATTAGATAATCTTCGGAATGGCAGTTGAAACAGCGTCGCTTCCATGCACCCTGGGACTGGCTAATATTTTCCTTTCGCTGCTCATTAACAATATTTAAAACTTTCACAATTAAACTTATATTTCTCATGGAGACAAAATCGAGATTGATCGATCTCGGAAAGCATTATTTGCAGGTGAAACAATGGCTTGAATATTGTTAATGAGCATCAAAAGGAAAATATTAGTCAGTCCCAGGGTGCATGGAAGCGACGCGGTTTCAACTGCCATTCCGAAGATTATCTAATTGGGCAGTGCGGATTACAATTGCGAAATGGAAGGCTACCGCTGGGAGATCGTAATAACTAAATGATAGACTCCAGTTAAGTGACTAAACGATTAGCCAGTGAAATGCTCAAGATCGCCAACGACTCGCTACGCCCCGGAACGAGCACTTCAACGTCGGCCTTATTCACCATTTCGGGAATCTCCAAGATGAATATTGCGAGGGCTCAACATAATCAACGGGATATGCTGGATGTGGTAATGTCAACGGCTCTATCTGAATTACAAGGTGCGGTGACAATCTTATCGAGGTCGGGAGACCGGGTCACTGAAGAATTCTGGGAAATTCTATGATATTGTAGGAAATTATAGTGAACATATTTTGAGCAAATATTTTTTTTTATTATTTGCCTCATGTTTTCTTCCCCTCAAATGTCTTAGTTCATGTAGGAATTTTTAATTACTTAATCGGCGTTAGAGAACTGCAAAGTAATTTTTTCGCAACCCGAGCCCGACCCGAGCCCGAATTTAAAATTTTTTTTTGTCCGAGCCCGACCCGAGCCCGAGCACACATTTTTTAATCCAACCCGACCCGACCCGAGCCCGACCCGAATAAAATTTTGCAATTTAAGTTTTAATATTATAATAACCAAAAAAAAATTTATGTGTATTTATTCAGTTCAGCCACCTTAAATAAAAGTTTATTTGACGGCCATAATCTATTCAAGATATATATTAAGTTGCATTTTTAAAATTTGTAAAAAATATTATAAAACGATTAATATACAAGCGAATTTAAAAATTATAACGATTATATAATAAGCATCATTTATGCGAATATAGATATGATGTAAAAGTTAATAAATATATAAAAAATATAATGAACATATTATATTATATATTGACCTCATCAATATCATTATCAAAATTATCACAAAGTGAATAATTATGATATATAAATAAAGAGGCGTCCAGTTTATCTGGCTTTAAACGAGTCCTTCTCTCCTCAAAGGCCCTACCAGTAGCTGAAAACGCCCTTTCACTGCTAGCCGACGAAGCAGGGATAGCCAGGAATTTAAGAGCTAAAATACTTAAATTTGGAAACTCATAATGGTTTGTTTTCCACCATTTTAAAATATTATCGTCATCAACACATAATTTCGGATCTAGATATTTTTTTAGCTCGTCAACTTCGGCGCTAGCATCAGAATACGCATTGTCAGCCTCCCATAGAGAGAAGTCCAAAAACGTATTTACCACCTCTGTAGTTTCTTAAGAAAAAAATATTCAATAATAATATTAAGATATATATTTACATTATTATTTTTTAATAATTTTACATATTTGATGATTAATATTTTTTTTGATATATGATATTTTTTTATAAAATTTATGTAATTATAATTATTCAACATTGATTTAATAAAATTTGAATTTTTTGAATTTTATTTAGTGATAATAAAATAATTAAAGGAAGTACTGAAAAAGAAAATTTTATTTCAGTAATTTTAGAAAAATTTGTCTAACTTTTTTTTGGAAGTAAATATTAATCTAAGATTTTGTATTTATTATCTCCAATATTTTTTAAATATATACTCAAAATTTTAGATCTCAATTTTTAATATGTTTTGAGATATATCTAATCAAAATTTGGGGTAAAATAGACCCCACCTTTGTAGTTAAGGGAGTTTTTTCTACCTTTGTAGTGAAGGGTTAAAACAAATGTTAAAAAAGACAATGTATAGGCTAGTTAAATAATAAATAAAACTTACATAAAATATGTCTTATCTTGTAATTTACGAGAAACACAATTTAGTAATAAAATAGTTTGGTATCCGGTTGTTAGGTTTATAAAATAATAATTAATAATGACTTGACATGTTAATATGATTGACATTTTAATCCTAAAATGTGATAAATATTAAATAATATGATTTTATAATTAATATTATAAATTATACTAACTATTTAAGATATTAATATTATTATATATATTTTCGGGTCGGGTCGGGTTTTCGGGTCGGACAGCTTTTACAACCCGACCCGAGCCCGAACCCGAGAAATTTTTTTTTGATGTCCGAACCCGACCCGAGCCTCGGGCTCGGGTCGGGTCAGGCCGGGTCGGGTCGGGCTACGGACAGCCCGTGCAGTTCTCTAATCGGCGTTACCTTAGGTAGTGCTCATAATTTATTTTTGTTAATTTTTTTTATCTTATCATGTAATCAATATAATAGGTTATGATATATATTTTGAATCATAAATTTAGTATAAATGTATTATGTATCATATATTTTTTTTTGTTTTTTATTATGAATGTCACGTGCCTATAAATGGATGGCAACGCTCTTCCAGCGCACTAGTTGAATGACTTTTAACATGATTAAAATTGTGTTTTAAACGATTCAATGATAAAAACTATGAGAATGATTTATTAATTTTAAACTTACTATCATATTTTATTATAATTTTGTTAAAATATATTATTCTTAAATGAAATAACAAACTAATATAAAAAACAATATGATTTGTTCAATCTATAATTTGAGTTTAAATAATAGATATTTCGATTTTGGCATTATGGATACCTTACATCATGATTATAATAAAATGTATCCTAAATTGCATCTGTATTTATACACTTTTCAGGAACAACTCCACAGATTTTAATCTCTCTTAGACTTTTATAAAACTATCTACCTGTGGGGGGAGGGGAGTGAGGAATTAAAAGTTTACAGTCATATTTTTCTTCCCCATTATGAACCCAATATCATTAATACTAATCTAGACCGACGATTTAATTAGGGCTGCACCTATCCGATATTTGCCGATATTTATTTCAAACGGCACCGATCCTATACCGATCATTGATTTTTAAAGAGATTAATATGAAATCTGTATATAAATTATTTTTTTTTAAAAAAACGCGTTTTAATAGGAATATTCACTTATCCCGCTTAAAAATCAAAAAATAGTTTCAGGCCGTGTCCTAGATTGGTTTAACACTAAGTACAAAAAAGCTAAAGAAAAAATTTAAAAAAAACACAAAAAATCGAGAATAAAATACTAAAAATAACGATGCCACCAAATTCTTAAAACAAACCAAAATGTTCAAAAACTTTTTAGTCTATACTAAAAAAGCAATTATGCATTCAAATTAAGCCTACCTATGGCATGGCCTCAAAGCTTTAAAATTCTTGTCTTTAAATTTGTAAAATGGTCTTTTATTATAAAGATAAGAGCCTCAAGTTTATATGATAATTAGTTTTTCCTTAAGAGAGCTATATATTTATTGTTGTTAAACGGCTATATCTGAGCCCATTTTTAATATCGGTTAACTCAATATTTTATCCACAAAAATGTTACATAGATGGAACAACGGTTTGGACATCTATTAGCGATATTTTTCAAGCTAAAAATTTGAAACAACCCTTTTTATTAAATAACATCACTACCAGATTTGCTGAAGACTGATTCTAATGTAACACTTGTTGCAATAGATGCCAAATGCTTAGGTGCAAGGTTTGAAAAGTTGGAGACCTTTGAACATTAACCCTCCAATTATAAGGAGGATTGGTCGGAGATAAAATATTGATATCTTCCTTAGTCAATCAAAATTCGCATTATTTTTCATTTAATATAAGTTGTTTCGGAATAAAAAACAATAGGATTAAACAAATAGACAAATAAAAATACACACAAAAATTTTTGGGTAACTTTCTTTTACATTATTTTATATTAAAAAAAAATTAAATCATTAAACATTTTTTATGGGTTTTATGAAGATTTATTACGAGAAAGGTAAATTAGTTCAAAATAAATTTTTAAAAATATATTAAAAAATAAAAAATATGCATCAAATTGGTATCGGTTAAATTTTAGAAAATACCTGCCGATCCGATAACGGTATTTAATATCGATATAGCCATAACTGCTACGTCATTGGCTGTAGCAGACGCCATTTTTTAATGCCTTTCTCATTTCTTCTAATTCAAGGAATAAATCGTATGTCGAAGTTAGTATTAATGTCATACCACCCCCCCCCCTCCCACATAAAGGAATTACATTGTGAAGTATTTAAAAAAAACTTATATTTCATATTTGACAATACTTAACTTATTTGAAATGATACTTAATTAATAGTATAACTTTTATATATTTTTTTCTTTTTTAAACTACCTTAGTACGCACCCGCCTAACAATCAACACCCTCCCATTCCGAACGGCGTAATCGCGGATCCCGATCGGAAATTTTTGGAGGAAGAGGACGAGAATTTCCAAAACATCGCGCATGAGTTAGTTAAATGATTTAGATTTTTTTTTCTCCCTTGGTATACCCTCAAAAGTTATTTATCTTTTCGCGACAAAAAATGTTTAAATTTTTTTATTGAGCAAATATGTAATAGTATATATGATAATTATGCACTATTCCCGAATTCAGCGATATCACTGACACGACCAATAATAATTCTAAAAATCAAGGACCGAATAATACTAGCAGTGTTTTGTTCGCGAACGGATTATTGTTTAAAGGGAGAGCCCTCTTCTCCAGAAGAGAACTTTCCATACTTCAAGAATCGTTGGAATATGGCTGGATCACTAATTGCGATATTGAATCCCTTGAACTGAAACTTTTCACCCACACATTTTTACACTTTAGTCGATGCCCTGAACTGCATAGCTCTTACTTTTAAATTATCTTCCCAATCCTGGTCACGGCACTATTATGATAGTTATACACTATATTAAAAAAAACTCTAATCGTTATTGTGAATATACTATAAAAAACTCTACCAGTAGTACAACGCAATTTTATAACTCACTCAATTTACCAACACAACTCTAAAACTAAAATTAATAAATCTTCAACTCCCAATTTTATTGATTAAATATATTTAAAAAAACAAATAAAAGTCATCATAATTATAAAATCTAGTCCCTTTTATACTTTTGGAGATCACGAGTTTTACACGTGATTATAAAATCAGGCGACTATTTATAAATTTGATAAATATTAAACAAAATAATTTTTAAAAATGAATAATAATAATATGACAGTATATAGTGTTGGTTAGGGTGGACATTAGTTTTGTTAAAAGGTTTGATTTGAGCCGATTTTTAAACACGTCTATCCTAATATTTTAGCCAGAAAAATTTGCCTAAACATTAAGGATTCGCTAATAGATGTCAATACTTGTACCATCTGTGACCAAAATTTTCAGGCTTGCATAATATTTTTCTGGATAAAATATTGAGTTTTTAAAAATCGGCGTAAATCAAGCCGTTTAACAACACTAGTTGACATGATTAAATCAAATTGATTTAAATCGACGATATATTTTGCAATAAAAATTATGATTTAAAACAAATTTATTTTTTTTATTTTCAAATAAAAAACAGGCTTATATAAAGTTGATGATTGTTAAATTTTATTCTTTTTAAAATGATTTTATGCTTTTTTATAATCCTGAAGAAATTTTTTTTATTTTTTTTAGGTATAATAAAACTCCTATAAAAATAATTGCAAATATTTTAAAAAAGTGTAATTATTTTGTCTTCTATTTAATTGATCTTAATTTAATATTTTATTGATAAATAAAAATGCTCATTTAAAACAGAGTTTGGGAAAAAATATTTTGAGCATAAATCTTTAATATTTTTGAAAAAGAGAGGTTTTTGATCAAATTTTTCTCTAAAAATTACAAAATTTTTCTTAAAAAGTTTGTTTTAAACAAATCTTTTGTAACTTTCATGCACCAAAATCTTTAAGGGTGAAATAAAAATTTAAATCAATTGGATAAGAGAAATTTTCGATCAAATTTTACCTAAAAATTGCCAAAATCTTAGTTATCAAATCTTATGTAACTTTCTAGCACTAAAATCTCTTTAAAGATGAAATATATATATTTTATTTAAAAATCTTCTTAAAAATAATCAAATATTATTAGCATAAAACTTAATCTCTAGTTAAATGGCCCTATATTTGGGTCGATTTTTAAAACAGCCCGAATAAGATTTTGGGCAAAATAATATTATATACTTCGATATTTGGCAAATAAAGGTTCAAATCTTTATGTCATCTATGAACAAAATCTTTAGGGTTACATAATATTATTTTGGATAAAATTATAATGGCGCCGTTTTTTAAAATGACCCAAATCAAATGGGCTGTTTAACAACATTACTCCAAATTTTATGAATTCTATAAAAAATGACCGAACTATATAGAACATTGTGTTTCTAAAAGGGAACAATTTGTAAATGTATACACTGGGAATGTATTAAAAATATAAATATGCAATAATAATAAATATTTTATAAAACGTGATAGATATAATATTTTTATTATGTTTGATTTAATTTTTTTTAATAGACAAATTGATTTTTCCAAAAACTCTGGTTAATTAATACAAAGTTTATTATTTAAAAACCTAATCTAATATTGTATTAAATGTTTCCTTTAAACCATAATTAAACATTTTCATTTTTTTTTCATCAACATGATCTAAAGAGCTAATTTTTTAAAAAAAAGATTAGTTTCATTTTAAGTTTTCAGTAATTTTAGGTGGTTATTTAAACTTTACTATACACCCAATTTTGGTATAATCATTTATATTTAACCTTTAAATCGTTCTCAAAATTCCCTTTATGCCCTGAAAACTTTGTACAGTATTTACGCCTTATGGAAAATGAATTTTTATGATCTTAGTGATCCTACACATCACTGCATGTACACAAATAAGATGTAATATTTTATATGGAAGAGGTTATAATCGGCTTAAGGGCAACAAAATTATCGCCTACCATATAATATATACCGAGATTTCCTCTAAAATATAAAAAATATATTAGAAGATATAGCACAGTCCCATAATTAAACCAAGATCACCATTATATAAATTTTGTTTATTTTTAATCAACTTCTTTTCTTTACCTCATGCAATTTATATTTTTTGCGATATTTAATTTTTTATTTATTTTATTATTAGCAATTATAATTCATACACTAAGCAAAGTCACATTATTTGTAATATAAATATCAAGGTTTTTAAGTAAAACTCAATATTAAAATAAATATTTAATATAAATTATTGAAATTAAATTATCGAAATTTATATATTTAAAGTTTCATAAAACAAATGCCTAATGGGTGCGAATTTTTATATTTTTTTTATAGTTTTTTTAATGATAAGTTTATTCAAATTTTTGAGAATTATCCGAAAATAAAAATCCTTAGAATTTGTTTCCTGGAATATTGGGTCTTTTATGTTGGGTACCTTCTACCCATTACTCTAAGAATTGAATGATAAGGTCAGTTATCTTAAAGCTTTTTTTTGTACATTCACTGTAATTGTAAAAACAAAGATTTAAACAGGGGGGGGGATGATTTTTTTATATCTTTCACTTGAATTATTTGATCTTAAAAGTTATGTATTAAAGCGGCAGCTACAGTACAAAGATCAATAACAAAAAAAATAGTACAATAATTATTTCTAATATAAAATAAGGTTTCGATAGAAGTCCCCCCCCCCCCCTTTAGCTTTGAATTTAAAAGAATATATACTACTATATTATTTTATCATGATTGATAGCTGTCCGATAGTGATGTCGAAAATCTCAATTTAGTCGGTTTAAAAAAAACGCTAAACCTAGATTTTCTCCAAAAAAAACCTAATTCACGAGGTTTCGCATATAGGATGTTCGACAAGGTTTGGCTCTCTTGAACAAATCTTTTAGCTAAATATTTGAGATTTTTTGACAATTATATGGCCAGGGTTTATTTGTGAACGGTGTGACTATTAATAATTTTAAATGATTCCTAGCCCGGCATTGCTGTCATAAAGGTTGTAGAAGAAATATAATGATTTATTATTTCCCTAATGTCTTTTACTAGTACTTACAGAAATAAGATTTTTTTATAGTCGCATAGTATCATCGTGACCTTCCTCTATACAATTGAATCCATCAGGGTATAAAGATATCCTGTTTTTTGAAATTTTTTAAAATTATATTATTATTATTTTGGAAATGGTCACTAACCACTATATAGCTGTGAAAATAAAATTATAACTAGAAAGACCTGTTATCTTGGACCTTATTTAGCGGCAGCGTCTTTTTAAATTTTTAAAAAATTGTTTTTCCTTTTTGGCGAAACCTTAAACGTTGTCATATAAAGTTCTCCTTAAAAAAAATTGCTGGCCCCATTTTTATATTATTACGACTTGGGTATACTGTTACTTTATTATTATCTAATAAATTTGCCGGTTTCACTTTTGATAATTATATAAGAAACCTACATAAAAAAAATTTTTTAAGATGCCCAGGCCGGGCCTTAATTTTTTTTTAAAAAAAAATCCCCGGCTAGTCGTATTTAAATCTCCAATATTAGCTATAAAAATTAATAATAAATGAAATATACTTTAAAAAAATCCGGGTCGAAATTTTTTAAAAAAATAAATAAATCCAGGTCGAGTCGTGCAAATGGTACCTCTGCAGGTCTCTGAACTAAATTGAATTGGTTTCCACATTTTTTTTATATTTGACTATGATTGTTAATTTTGATAAGATGTCATTCATATGTGTGTTTTGAAAGCCTTTTGATAAAAGTTTAGTTTAGTTGTTATAACTATTTGGACGACTTGATATTCTTTAAAGTCTATCTTAAGTAATTTATTTTAATGCGCACAAATTTAGCATTTCAAACGCGGCTTTGCAGACTCTAATAATGCATCTTAAATAATGTCGTATACAAATTGAAATTGGTCAAAAAAACGCAAACTTGTGTGCTTTTACAATACTTTTTTTAAAGTTGATTTTGCGCGTTGGTCTACGACAGGTTTGCCAGAGCCGTGGTCTGCAAGGGGGGAGTATGGGGGCGCAGCCAACTCATAGAAAAATTATAAATAATAATTTTGACCTGGAAACCCTATCAACGACCCGTTCGTTATAGTGCGCACAAATTGAGCGTTCACGTTTTGCCGTAATTTTTAAATAAAAAAAACGCAACGCGTCCCTTGTTTAAATTGAGGTTGGCTTTTTATTAATATCAGTCGATTCAAAATTTTAAATAAGTTATAAAAAAAGGATTTGTCTTTCGAAATTATATTATCATATGCATTCGTATTCTTTAATTTCTAAATATTCCTTTTTTGGATATAAGTAAGTTATTTATATTTCATTTTATATAAAAAAAGTATTGAAAAGCGAATCTGTTTGCGTTTTTTAAAATGGTTGTTAACGCCAAACGGTAATTTTGCCAATCTGCACGAGGCCATTTGAAAGGCATTATTAACGCTTGCAACGCAGCGTGAACAATGTTTTTTTTACAAGAAGGCCGACAAAACTATGTTATCTAGATAATAATAATAATGAGTGAGAGAGCTTGTTTATTTATATATCAATTATTAAATATTTATATAAAATGAAGGAAAAAATAATTAACTTATCTTTTATAATGGAATATATAGAAATTAATTAAATAAAGGGGCAGACGATAATATAATTGATAAAAAAAACAAATTTTTTTTTTATAACTCACGCTGTATTTATAGTAAACGCTTTATGTTCAAGCTTTGCGTTATTTAACTATCGAAATCACAGTTGATTCCGTTTTAAAAAACGAAAATCGACCCAAATATTTTATATAATATTTTAGAAATATCATATGCCTTTTTATAGAATTCGTAAAAGCACGTATTTTTTTGTCATCGCATCTCAACATATGTTTAATTATACCTATTTTGGCTTGATTTTGTAATAACACTGGGTTAAATAACCCGTTTACTATAAATTACGCCTTAGTTAAAATTTTGAATCGACCATACAAATATAAATGCAGTAGCTCAATTTTAAACCAGGGATGCGTTACTCTTTGTTTTTTAAATAAAAAAAAAGTATTAACCAAACGCAAACGCTCAATTTGTGCGCACTATTAGGGCACATACCACTTACCAAACCAAAAATCGCTTAGATTTATATCGGCTTCCCTTATCGCTTACTAAACAGATTTAGTTACCTTGCCGAATCTGGTACTGGAAGATCCGGGCGGACCGGATTTTATCTCTTACATACGATTAAATTATTTTAATTAACAAGAGCCCAAATCCATAAAATTATGCAAATGTAATTTGCTATCGCTACCGGGAAAATGATAGCCTTGATTTATAGAAATTCTTGTAAAAGTCATATACAGTCCTATCCATCCTTGGTTATAATTGTAATGTATAAGTATCATATCGATGTACCACATTTTTAAAAAAGTTGACCTTCATTTTTATATATTTTTTTTTTGCTTTAAATAATCTAAAATACAAAGTATATTATTATTATATTATATATTATATGCTCATTATTTTTATTAGAAGCTTTGTTATTAAATACTAATTATTATTTTTTCTATCCTTTTTAAAAATTCGCTAGAATACGAAATGAAACGTGACATCGAAAAAACAAATTGAAATTAATATTTTATTTACCGATATTTTTATATCCAAATTGGATCGATAAATAATAATAATAAAAAATGTTGAGAACGTCTGAACTCTAAATTAAAATTTTTGTTTCATGATTTTTTTAGGAGCTAGTTCATGCCATTCTCTTTGGCGTTTCACGGTTTTTACCTCTTTTGGGTGAATATCTCGTAATATTAGTTTTCTTCGACTATCTCGATTTATACGATTTTAAAGAAAGACATTTATAAGTGAAAAAAATAGCGATTCGATTTACTGAATTCTATTTATACGTGGTTCATTATCGTTATCGTTTAAAATGGAGTAATTGGTAGGGAAGCTGTTTCTTTTCTATTGGTGGACATCTTCCTGGCCATAAAATGAGCAACCGGAAGTTGAAGGAAATGCAAAATATGTTAAAGATTTTATTTGATTCTCTCATAGACTTTCTAAGGAAGAGAAAAATCTGCACATGAATCCCGGTGCGAAGCGGGACGAAGAATGATATAATTTTTAAAAAATAATTATCTGGATTAATCAGCTGAAAATTTTTTATAATGAATAATTACTTGTCCTATTTTCCTTTTGATATAACTTACAAAATACGATTAAAAAATTAAAAATATATTTTTTTAAAAAACCCGATTCTTGGCCAAAAATATATTTCTTAAAAAAAATAGAGTCAACCGGGTTTTAAAACCGATTTTATAAAACCGGCCGGCCGGGTTTTAAAATAGATTCTTTTAAAAATTCGGCTTAGCCGGGTTTAATAATTTTTATAAACCAGGCCGGACGGGTTTAAAAATACTCTTTTAAGAAATCCGTGTCAGCCGGGTTTGAAAATGGGTTTATAAAACCGGGCATGCCGGATTCAAAAATAGATTAGACTTCATTTTTTTAGCCGGGATCAGCAGATCTCAGAGTTTTATAAAATGAAACTTAAAAATATTTGCACCAAATCCCTAGTTTATCATTATTTTTTTTAAATGATTTTTTTTATTATTAAAGATATTATCATATCACCATAAATAATGGCCTCTCGTTAAATATTTCTAATTCCCTTAATAGGATAAATTTTTTAAAAAAATAATTAAAATCGCGACGATTTAAATGGTGGAAAATAAAAAATAAATATTATTTCAGGAGGAAGGGGGAAGGGATGAAAAATCGATAAAATTTTCTATTTTATTATATATAAATTATTTATTTATTTAATAAAAAATTAAAATACAAAATGTTAAAAATAAGGGAAACTAACGTGTACATGGTTTTTAATCATTTTATAAATTACTTTTATTTTTTGAAAAATTCAAAAATTTAATATCATTTTTTGATCAAAAAAAAATAAAATAATTAAAAATTAAATAATAAAACAAAATAGAAAAAATTTTTATTTTAATGTAACATATTTATTTTATTAAAAAAATGAAGATGAAATGATATTTATGTCCCTCGATTTCCGAAAGAGATTAATTGATTCTATTAAATTTAAAAAAATGGGATTTTATTTTATTTATCATTCGATGTTCCTATAGCTATAGCCAATCAATTATTACTTTCTAAATTTTTTATTCATCAAATTAATTGACCATCATAATATCATCTCTTTATTTTCAATTCGTTGTCCTTTCGCAAAAAAACAAAAAATAACGGAGGTTAAGTTTTTTTTAAAAAATTGATATTTTCTAGTAATATAATTAGAAGCCCTAAAGATAGGACCTACCGACCCGCTAAAAAAATTTTGCGAATCGGACCGCATATTTATTCGGGCGTGGTTTTGAGCTATTTTTAGTTAAACCAACCTTACCCCCTAATGATATGATTAAATGGATGTTTAATTTTAACTTTTTTAATTTATGAGGGAAGGGGGAGGGGCTGGGAATTATTATAAGTCGGTTATGACACTCAGTGGTTTGTTATGCAATTATAATTACATATAAATAAAATGCTGATTGATTTGATGCCACTCGCTAATACATAACATATTTATTTTTGAGCGATAACCGGTTATTTTCATAAAACCGGCCGGATCTCCGGTATTCCAATATAAATTTTGCCTTCTTTTTTTATTCGCGTTTTATTTTGAGAAATTTGTAACGTCATAACATATCGATTTAGCCCAGACCATAACATGGATTAATAATTCGTTTTTCTTCTTTTTTTTAAAAAAAAAAAAACCATGAGTTAGAGTTTAATATAAAATCTAACGAAAAATTTGGATTTTTAAAAACGGCTAACTCTATTTTAGCCAGAAAGATATTGCCGAACCTTGAGATTTCACTAATAGGTTGTCGAAACCATTGTGCCATCTATGAGTAAAATCTTCAGGCTTGCGTTATATATTTTTCTGGATAAAATATTAGAGTTAGCCGTTTTTTAAAAATCGGCTCAAATCGAGACGTTTAAATTACACCATCCAATATCGACCGTTATTTAGCATCTATTAAAAAATAGCGATACGTATTTTTTTTTTACTAAACTGTAAAATGGTATGGGGTAAGAGCGGGGGAAGTGTTGTTAAAAATCTCTAAATCAAGATTTTAGTCGAACATATGTTAACCAATCCCTTTCTGCAAAAAAAAAGGTTGCAACGTTTCGTTTCTCTTTTGGATAAATATCGAGCGAGACTTAGGCAATAGTTGTTTTGGCTATAATTATGATGTCGCCATTTTTTTTTTAAATATCGAAGTTTTTAACAATACTCGATAAACAGAAGTATATCTTTTGTTTATTTTTATTTTAACGGTTATTTATAATTAAGTTTATGAATATTATTCGCCTAAGTAAAAAGGATTGGGAGGCCTATTTCAATCAACACATCTTCCCTCAGTTGCTGGAATACGCTTCGCGCCAGTTCCCCAGCGATACCTTTCAAAGAGACGCCCTGGTTCAACATTTGCAGGTCCAATATATGTCTAAGTTCGGTCAACCTTACAACGCGAATATCGGTCATCATCAACCTAGCAACACTCTTAATTTCAACACGAACCATATCAATAATTACGAAATGTCCTCTTCTCAACCCCAACAAGGAATGGCTGATGAGTTTAAGAATAATATTCCCGAAATGTACCAACCCAATCTGCTCTCGTCATCATTCGTCGACACAAAAGAAGGAACCTCCGCGAGGAACGAATATTGGGAAAAAGATACCCTAAAAAATGACAATTATTTCAACCCTTCCTCCAATCCAGAATACTATAAGAGTAAAAGCTATGCTGGCCAAGGGGATTCATCTAAATCATTCTTCGAATCGAATATTGGGAACGGGGTTCAAGACACGTCGTATTTAAATCATATGGACGGCAACTCATCGGACACGGTCATAGAGGAAGGGGATATCGTGGAAACTATTGAGGACATTGAGACATATGAAGGTTTTTCTATTCGACGTTATTGGGGAAGGGGGGGGGCGTTGAATATAGGATCGTTAAAAAAGATCAATTTATAACATTTTAAGATGTTGGTTTAAGAAAAAAAGAAAATGGCGAGTAAGTAACCGTTAAAGTTCCATAAACAAAAGTTGTTATTTAAAAAAAATAATGTTTGTTAAATGATTAATTCATCAGCGGCCGGGGAAGATATTATGCCGGCCTCCATGTGGGTCAGGAAGGACTTGAAGCAGTTCAAGCAAGACGTCCGGCAACACCACAAGGAATGCATGATCAAAGTTGGTCATGGCGAGACTGTGACGGTATTTTTAAATATTATTTTTTTTACAAAATAAAAATGAGTTCCTTATTTCTTCGATGAATTTTAAATCTAATCATTCCGTTACTTTTTTATATTTGTGAGAGGTAAGGAAAGTAGAAAGGAATAATTTTCACATATTTTAGCAATATATTTTTTTAAATAAAAAAAATTTAAAAGGTGAGAGTTCCGACCCACGAAAATGGTAACAGTCTTTTTTGGGAGTTCGCCACCGATGGCTACGATATAGGTTTTTAAAAAAATATATGCTGTACTGTATATATAGTAAAGGAATGAATAAATATAGATAAAAGCCCCTCAAACTGAAAACAAAGGAATTTTCGGTCAAATTTTGCCAATAAATTTCAAATCTTTTATAAGTAGTAAATCTTTCATTATTGGAATCCTAAATTTTTAAAATATTGTTGATTTGAAGTTGAAAAAATTTTCGCTCAAAATTTTTGGGCGATAAAAAAAAATAAAATCTTTAGATGCTCATTAAAAAAATTTTATGTAACCCTCTTTCTTTCTTTCTTTCTTTCTTTCTTTCTTTCTTTCTTTCTTTCTTTCTTTCTTTCTTTCTTTCTTTCTTTCTTTCTTTCTTTCTTTCTTTCTTTCTTTCTTTAAACTAAGAAAATTTCCCCGTTCCTCCCATTTATTTTAAAAGTTACAGCTGCATTAGAATCGATAAAAGCAACCACCACTGACAATTATAGAAACGAAAAAAATAAAAATTTTAAAACTCATCAAATAATTTTATTTAAAAGAACTAAAAAAAATATTATTTTAGGAATTCGAAATATTAATTAACAGTCATATATAACTTGTCTTATTAGGCATTTTAATTGATTGACAGGATGACATCATTCTGACTATCATAATTATCGGAGTAATTAAAATGAATGATAAATAAAACGGGTTATCTTGAATGTAAAAAAAAATGATTTGCGTAGTTTTGGAATAATGAGATAAAATGGCGATGAACTTGTTACGAAAACAAAATTAGTTGTCAATATAAAAATTAATTATATTCACATGACTGACTACCTTTTAGGGGAAATATAATTCTAACTGGTTACGTTCGTTTGTTTTAAATGTAACTTGTAACTTTTTCTTACTTTAATTTCAACATATTAGTAAAACCAGTTACTTTTTAATAACGCAGCTTGTAACTGCAACTAAAGTTAACGTTAACGACACTACAAATTTTCATTAAAAAAATAATAATTAAGGTTTTGGCGTGTTTTTTGAATGGTGCAAGCCTTATACAAACAAGATAAGCGTTTACATCTCCGAATCGAGTAGTGAAGAGGAGGAAGGGGACGAGATAGAAGAGGAAAATCAAGAAGAATTGGCCGAGATTATTCATGGATCCTCCAAGGAACCCAATGCCAGAGGTATATATAATCGTACTAGACCCTCCTCCTCTTTAGCATGATTATGACCCCCTCCCCCCATCCCCGATGACAACAATATAAGATTATTCATTATAAAATGTATGCTGATAATACATGTTGACTTAGAAGGTACCCTGATGAGATTTTAATGACCGATCCATTCTCGTCTTAGAGGATGAGGGGAAATATAGTTAAGGAGATGATTGATTAGTTGCTCTTGTTTAAAAAAAGAGCCGCGTAAATCTAGTGTTTTACGCCCTAAAACTATCAGCCTCGGAATTTAAAAAAAAATAGCAATCAACTTTAAAGAAAGTTAGAAATAAATCAATCATTTGGCGGGTATTTTATTCTGCGCCGAGTATGGATTGAGTCGAATTCGCTTATTTCTAGCCAATACCCGACTATAAGGACTTTCCGGGTGAATTTATACAAAAACTGTCAACTGTCTTTGCCGCTTCATATTATATTAAGCCCTTGAACTACCGACAGCTGGGGAGAATTATATTTATTTTATTGTCGAATCTTTCGTACACTTTTCTAAGGAATTCTATTATGGTTGGGTATTGGCTAAAAATTGGCTAATTCGATTCAATCAACTAGGGGTGTACCGATACCACTTTTTAGAGGCCGATCCGATCCGATATTCCAGATATTAAATTGATATAAGCCAATAACCGATCCGATATCATATTGTAAAAATACCGGTTTTAATTTTTAATATACATTTTATTAGTACAATATCTATAATTTTACTATACCATAACATATGTCATTTAAATATATTATAATGATCAGTTATAGTTTATATTCAATTCAATTGCTATTATTTATATAATAAGTAATAACATTAATCTATTTACATAATTAGTAATAAATATATTATGAAATTTGAAATTAATATTTAAAATTAATATATCAAAGATTTCTTTTTAGAAATACCAAAATTTCCAATTTATCATCGGTCTGCGGTGATGGGGACTGTTAATATAATATCACTAGCATCACTAAAAATAGACTCTGAAGAGATTAATGAACACTTTTTTAAACAGAATGCGAAAAAAAAAACTATATTGCAGAATGTTTATTAACTAATTATTACTATTAAAAAAATTAAACATAAAAATATATTTCGATTTTATTTATAACAATAAATGGTTTTTTAGATATAACCTTTTTTAAATTTTGTTAAAAGCGCTATTTTATCGGATCGGATCGGAAAATTTTATAATATTTGCCGATAACCGATATTTTAAAAAGGGCGGAATATCGGCCTGATCCGATATAAAATATTGGTACATCCCGACAATCAACCAATCATTAAAGAGAAAGTTAATTAATTTTTTTCCTTCTTAAAATTTGGGCTATCTTCTCAAAAAAAATCGAGGTTAATGGGGGCGATAGTTTCGATTCAAAATTAGGTTTTGACCAGGTAAAAATCTTCTAAAATTAAAAATATCACAATTACTCGTCTTTAAATTTTTATAACCAGACCACAATACCTTTGGAGGTGGTTTATTGTTAACTTAAATATAAACTTGACATTAGTCTCAATTTCGCATTTTGTAGGTATTGTTTGACGATATCTTTTTATCATGATATTAATCATATATACTACCGTAGAGAACTGCACGGGCTGTCCGTAGCCTGACCCCGGGTTCGGACATCAAAAAAATTTCTCGGGTTCGGGCTCGGGTCGGGTTGTAAAAGCTGTCCGACCCGAAAACCCGACCCGAAAATAAATAATAATATTAATATCTTAAATAGTCAGTATAATTTATAATATTAATTATATAAAATCATATTATTTAATATTTATCACATTTTAGGATTAAAATGTCAATCATATTAAAATGTCATGTCATGTCATTATTAATTATTATTTTATAAACCTAACAACCGATACCAAACTATTTTATCACTAAATTGTGTTTCCCGTGAATTACAAGATAAGACATATTTTATGTACTAAAGATAAGTTTTATTCATTATTTATTATTTATCTAGCCTATACATTGTCTTTTTTAACATTTGTTTTAAAAAATTTCCATATAAAATTTAAGATTGGGATTTGATTCAGGGGAACTTATTTCTAATTTAAATTTCACTACCATAAATGTTAATCATCCTAGAAATTAAAAAATATTATATAAAATTGGTAATGATATTCTAAGTTACATTTATATATAAATATAACCTTTACTTATTTCGTTTTGGTATTATTATTTTTTTATCTATCTACCTTAATAGTTGTAAATTTTCCAGCTAATTTTGGTTGTCAATATTTTAAAATATGGCAGAAAAAAATTATAAATTAATACAAGATTCTCAAAGAAAATAAGATGTATACTCTGATATGTAAAATTTAAAACATGAATATTAAAAAGAATCTGTATCTGTATCTTTTGTCAAGAAAATGTAAAAGATACAAGCTTTTCAGAATTAAGGATCTTAGATACAGATATCAGTATCTTATTAAAAATGTCAAAATATACTGAGTACAAGATATAAAGGGATCATGTATCTTAGATACAAGTATTTGCAGTACTGCCCAACTCTGTTTATTTCAATCTAATTGATTAAAGTCATTTTAAATATTTTTTTTAGATTTTAGACACAGCCATATTAAAAAAATTATCTCAATGGATGCAAAATTAAAAAGAATTGGTGAAAAGATTAAGACAAAAGAGTATGAAGTAAGGGAGAATCTTAATGGAAAATCCTATGTATGGAAGAAATTTTCATTTATATATGATGAAAATAAAGAAAAACTTAATTATGTCATTTGTATTATATGCAAATTTATTTATGTATATAATTCAATAACAACAGGTTAGATATTTATACATAAAATATGATCTTATTAAATTATTTTAGGCGGCTAGCAGTGAAAGAGCGTTTTCAGCTGCTGGTAGGGCCTTTGAAGAGAGAAGGACTCGTTTAAAGCCAGATAAACTGGACGCCTCTTTATTTATATATCATAATTATTCACTTTGTGATAATTTTGATAATGATATTGATGAGGTCAATATAATATAATATGTTCATTATATTTTTTATATATTTATTAACTTTTATATCATATCTATATTCGCATAAATGATGCTTATTGTATTATATAATCGTTATAATTTTTAAATTCGCTTGTACATTAATCGTTTTATAATATTTTTTACAAATTTAATAAAATGCAACTTAATATATATCTTGAATAGATTATGGCCGTCAAATAAACTTTTATTTAAGGTGGCTGAACTGAATAAATACACATAAATTTTTTTTTGGTTATTATAATATTAAAACTTAAATTGCAAAATTTTATTCGGGTCGGGCTCGGGTCGGGTCGGGTTGGATTAAAAAATGTGGGCTCGGGTCGGGCTCGGACAAATAAATTTTTAAATTCGGGCTCGGGTTGCGAAAAAATTACTTTGCAGTTCTCTCCATAAATTATTGCCTACCCTGCATTTTCTTAAAATTTTTCTTAATATAAGACAAAAAACACACAATATGAGGTTTATCAAATTTATTTATAAGTTTACATATTATTGCATAAAATTACAAAAAATAAAAGACATAGCAATTAATTAAGATCAAATTTTGGTCTCATTTATATGACCACCTTTATTCTTAATAATTTCTGCACAACATTTTGGTAATCTTTCGATGAGATTTTTTAAATATTCAAAAGTTATAATTCCATTCTCTCTGTAATACTTCCCAAAGGTGCGAATGAGAGGTTAGAGGGCTTTTTCGCGCTTGTCGATCAAGGTGATCCCATACAAGTTTGATTGGATTGAGATCGGGAGACTGGGATGGCCAAGTCATCAACTCGAGAATACAGTGTTGTTGTAGATTTTGTAAATAATCTTTGCATAGCCTGGATGTAAGCTTTGGGTCATTATCTTGTTGAAATAAAAGTTATTCCCGATCAAACGCTTTCCTGATAAAATCACATGGTCCTCAATGATTTGCCGGTATACCTTCTTGATAAGGATTCCTTTAATTTTGACAATGTCACCGGTTGCCCCAGCACCAAAGCACTCACACACCATAACAGACCCTTCCCCAAATTTGACTATAGGAATTATGCAGTGATCCCTCATTCGCTCTTCAGCTGAGCGGCGGATATTTTGCCTTCTTTTAGAACTGAAGATTTCGAATTTTGACTCATCACTCCATAAGACCTCGTACCAGTTGGCAGATGTCCAAAATTGATGTTTTCGAGCTCAGTCTAATCACTTATTTTTTTTGCTCAAGAGTGGCTTTTTAACCGCTACTTTACCATAGAGTTTAAAGCTCCTAAGACGCCTTTTCACAGTTGTGACACTTATCGGGTTTTCCCGAGTCAGATTAATCTCTGATACGATAAGGCGTCGATGCGTCTGATCCTTGCTATATACCTATCATCGCTTAAAGTCGTTTTGCGGGGTCTTCCAGGCCTCTTTAGATTCGATATTGTATTATTGTTGCGTAATCTTTTAAGTATTCAATCGACTGTACGTCGAGCTAGGGTTAATTCTCTGGCAATTCGGCGATTACTTTTACCACTTATGTGTAAATTAATTATTTTGCATTTAGTTGGAAAAGAAATTTCTTTTCTTTTAATCATTTTGGTCGAATGTTCGTTAAAATTTAAAAAGACTAAAAGTTTCATTAAACAATGATTTAAAACAAAAAAAAATATAGGTTTTTTTTTTAAAATAATTAAAAATGGGTATTAATAAGCAGATTATAATGTGACAAATGACTTTCTTCCAAAAAACAATGGGCAACTTAAACTTGTTGCTGAAAAAAACTAATGACCCTATTTTACCAAATTGGTCATTTTTGACATGTTGTTTTCAAAGGCTAAAATTTCATAAAAAAATTTATAGAAATTCCGAGTTTTTTATTTCTAAATATGTCTAGACATCTTAAATTAATTAATCAATTCGTTTTTACCCAAATAAGTTAAAAATTAAGTTATTAATTTTTTTTATGTAAAAATGCAAGGTGGGCAGTCATTTATGGCCGGTAGTGTATATGATTGAATGCTTTTGACATGATCCATGAATACATAATATTTATGATAGAGATCGGCGGGGACAAAATCCTCTCAAGCTTGGAAAAAGTGATTTTAGTGCTCAGCCAAACATCTTTTGCGAAATCATATATTTTATTTTATTTTCCTTACTTGGTTATATATATATCTCGATAAATAAACTATTTTATTTTTTAAAATAAATTTATGTTAAAAAAACACGAAGGTTCTTCTCTGAAGACGGACCTAGAGACTGGCAACCCAAATCCGTCCTCTCAATCTAGAATTTCGTCATTGCCCTCCGAGACACCTCACACCTCTTTACAACAAACGACATCATCGTCTTTGGAAAACGGGCAGGAAGAAACGCGCCATTCCCACGAAAGCTCCCCGGCTGACATCAGGGAAGGCGCAGGTGACGAAAGGCCTAAAGCCTTTATAGATGAGATAATCCCGCTGGAAAGACGGGACAGTCACCTTCAAATCTACGCTGGCAGCCATCCTTACCCGGGTTCCGGTGTTTACTTGCTAAAATTCGACAATTCTTACTCGCTTTGGCGTTCAAAAGCGCTTTATTACAAGATATATTACACCAAATGATAAAAAATAAATAAATAATATAATACTATATAATTTATATGTCGTATTTGAAGAGTAAAAAAACATATTAAAGTAAATAGAATCACCAATCGCACAGCACATTTATAAAAAAAATTAAAATATTTGATATTCATCCTTTTTTTAGTGTAAATATTTTTTGTCATATCTTAGTTTTGACTTGCGAATTAATTTGGATAAAAAAAAATTAATTGTTAATATAAAATAATACCACCTGTCGTTTGATTTTTTTTGATAGTTTACTTTTCAAAATTATAAGCAAAATACGGAAGTTAAACAAAACAAAATCACAGTATATTATTTTTGGAAAGGTTGGGAGGGTGTTTATAAAAAATGTTTTATATGTTGTATTCATAAGTTAGTATTTTCCCATTCGTGCCAAGGAAATTTGTATTTCACTTTTTGTTTCTTTCCATAAAATCTGAACCCTTTAGCAAAAGTTTCCATTCTCTTTTTTTTGAATAATTTACTCGTAGTCTATCCGATCCATCATTTAATTCGATATAATATGATGCCATTACGATTTTTTTTCTATGTATGGGGGGGGGGGGTGGATAGCTTATATCTTTACTCCCCCTTTTTTTGCGTACTCTTATAATAATACATGCCATTGCTAAATAACCAAAAACACTTTTATTTCTAAATTTTTAAATTTAATTTTTCTATAATCATTAATCTATATCTCACTTTAATTTATTTATTTTTATATTGAAAAAAAAATGACCCCGGTAAAATTATTTATTTTCTTTTTTTAAATAGATAAAAATTAAAGTTCTATCTTAAAATTTGTATATATATTTATATATATTTTTTTGTATTTATTATATATTTTAATAAATGTATTCATATTATTGATAATATTATTTATTTTTTTCATTAGAATCATAATACTCACTTAACTCCACAATGTAACTATTGTTGTTTATTTTATTTTTTTGGAATAATGGCTAAAATGCACATGAACACCATAATTGGACAGTGTAATATTTAAAGCAGAAAAATATCCTTTTATACATTCTTCCCCTTTACACATTCGAATCCTAATAAATCTTAAACTTTATTCCTCAGAGCTCGAGGAACATACGGGTTATTTATATTATTTCTACGAGTCTTACTTTCTGACATTTTCTAAACTTATTATAAAATTCGATTTTGAAATGCTACCTTGCAAATTTTCAAATGATAATTTGTAAGATAAATATTTATTTTATAATCTCCTTTTTTTCCAAATGTATTGTCAAGAAATTTTGCTCCTCTTTTATATCATAAAAAATGAATCCGAGCTCACTTTAAAAATTTAGGAAAAACGACACTAAGAATTTGCACAAATTATGCCAAAGTTTCAAATATAAACGTATTTTTGTATTTGTTCATTATAATTTTATAATATTTTATATATAATAAAATGATTATAGAAATGAAAAAAAAACAACTCACGTTGATAACTAAAAATGAGTAAATATGCGTTTTTTAAAATTTAAATCAAAAAATAAAAACACGTATAAATTTTAAAAAGTTTCAAAAATCTGTGATTATGATTTTTGGTTAATTATTTTTTAAATATTTGTGAAAACAAAAATATTTGTCTCGTGGAATATTCAAAAAAGATGTAATGTTAGACCACATTTAGAGCAAGCGCCATAGCGCCAGAACCCTCTAAATCCTCATAATTTAATGACTCTGAGACCGTCCTGATGACTAAAATATAAAATGATTTAATTAAAAAATGAATATTGTTTATATAAGTTAAAACGCCATTTTTCCCCCATATAAATAATTTACATTCAAATTTTATGAAAACTTTTTTTTTTAAAAAAACAAGCTATTTACAATTATTTATTACAAAAATTCTTATTTGGGAAATTAAAATGGCGTGTTGCTAGCTGATTAGTATTCAAAGACGCGTCATGAATGAATAGTCTTAGTCTAGGTAAATAATATAGTATCATTAGTTGGACAATTAAGTTGCCCACCAAAATTTCAATGAGGCGTAACCCCGCGTAGAGAATGCTAGATATAGTTCTACGTATTTTATATATACGTCAAGGCCTCGTTTATAATGCTTAATATATGGCAATGTTGTTTCACGTCGAATTTTTTGTAAATAAATAATGTTAATTTATAGCGATATTCTATCGTTTTAGCAATGAATTTACGCATCGCTTGAGCGAGATTGCGGTATCTCGCGTTTAGTTTAAACAACGTCTAAATTTAAAAATTGTTGGCAGCCAATTTTTTCTAAAAAAAAATAGCCAAAAAATCGAAATAATGTAATTATTTATTTATAACACATTATTAATTTACTTGAATATATACATATAAGGTGAGTTAATATAAAAAATAAATATTTATTTTTTAAATAAAAAAAGATATCATTATACAACTAATAGAAGAAAGGGAATTTTTTTTGAATAATAAATTCAGTAAAATAAAAATATTGCAATTTAACGAAGTTTTTTAACGAATAAATTTCCTTCCATAGAAAACCCTGAGGCGAATTTTTGATTGTTAACCGTCAATCTAAATGAACTGGCATCTAATTTCCTTTCGCCTCTTTTTATTGACACGATACCGTTAGATTCGACTGACGCTTTGATATACGGAGTTTCCAACCATATTTTATTGAGAAATGGTATTAAGCATATCCTCTTAACGTTGTCTTTGATCTCCACCTCACCGGACATGGTATCTTGCGTTATCTTGAACCCGTCGATCAGTATATACTGCACCTTTAAGTCATCGTCCGAGCAAAATTTGGCCCTGTTGACGAGATCGTAAGATTTGCGCAACTTATTTAGGATACGGTCGTTAAAAGAATCGTTTAGCCTGTCCCCCAGGGGATTATAATTAAATGTTTTTTCCCTGAATGGAACAGAAGTGATATCCGAAATCTCGTCGTTATCACCTTTACCTACAATGTTCAAAATCTCGCTCTCGATACAAGGTGCTTGATTGCTGAGATCTTTTGTCTTTTGAGTACTCATACAAGGTAATGCGTTGCTAGTAGTGTCATCTTGTGATGAATACTTTTCGGGTTCTAGCTCTTGATCTATATTATTGTACAAGATCGAGGTAGATGAAAAAGTCGTTTGAGGCGGTGACGCCATCGGTGGAAAATCTTCTAGTACCATACCCAAACCTTTGGAATCGAGGGAATAGCCTATAGTAGTCTGAGGGCTTCCTAACCCGACTACCGTTCCACGTGAGTCTTTAAGCACTTTAGAAAAAGTCCGACAAAATTTTATTCCCTCAGAGTCAAATCTAACCCGTCTCTGACCCGTCAGGCTGGCTTCGACTCGCGTCAGTTTATGTCTCATCCGAGCTCCAGGGTGATCGATCGCAGTTTTACTACCTCGCTTATCGCAACTAACTATACAATACATCTGTCTTTGTTGGTACGATTGGTGTAATTGCGGCATTTGAGGAGGTGGTCTACTCATCGTGGGTAATGGTATCGATGAGGATAGCGAGGTAGATGCTAGATATGGACATTTGCTTTTGATATCAAAATTAGTTATTCTTGTATTGTCATCTTCTAGGGTTGTCACCATCTCGTTGGCAGGTTGGTTGGTATCTTGAGGCTTAGTCAATATGTTATTATCAATGTAATTAATCAGAACAAGGTTTTTATTGGAACTGAGTCTTATCTCTACACCTTTTTCCAATGATATATGGATTACGCCTATGTTATCGACGTACATATTAATGGGAGTTGACCTATTTTTCCACATTATTTTAAAACAAAAAAAAAATTTCTAATGAATTATCTTTTCATGGTATTATTATTATTATTGGATATTTAAATTTGCGTAGCATAACGTATTGCACGTTACATCTTGAATTATTGTCATATTAAATGATTTCATGTTTATTTTAAATGAATAAAATTACAAAATGATTTGCTATATTAAAAATTTACCACACTTTTTAAATCTAGTTAAGTTCAGGTTAGGAATTAGTATTATATATTTGCTATTATTTTAAAATTGATTTTATACTTCTTCCAATGATTTTAAATTTAGATCCTTATTGGCTAAAACTCCCAAATAGGGTCTGGAGTTGTAACATCTTAATATGTAAGAAACGTCTATGCAGGCAAAATTATATTTTTATTTGCAGAATATAATATGAGCTTTCTTTATCAAGGAAGTAAATAGAATTATACAATCATGTTTAAGCCTTCAAGATGGCTTATATAAGGGATAACTTTTTATCTAGCATCTAATTATGTTTTATTAACCATTTAGGATTCAAGATAGTTTAATATAATAGCTATCAGTAGATAAGTCATGGGTGAAATTAGTCACTTAGAATTTACTCTGTGAAAAGTTATAAGAGATCGTGACTTAACTTCCTGAAACGACGTGTAATTTTTAAAATGCATCATACGGCCTCGTCTATAGCGAATCGTAACATATGATTTTCAAATTTCATCATAGTGATGTAACTCGTTTCATTACTTCGCTCAGTCATTAAAATATGCCTATTTTCAGAGTTATTTAAAGTATCTAGATACAAGCAATGTCATACCTGTATCTAGATACACTTTTATAAATGTATCGGTATCTAAATACTATTGTAAAGGTATCTGTATCTGTTTTTAGATACTTTCCAGATAATTTTCAGATACATTTTGATATACTTTTATTTAGCACTTTTTATCTAAAAAATAAAAATATTTGAATGCAAAATTCATATCTCATTTAAGCATATAATTTAAATAAATATTTATCTTAAAAAAAACATAATATTAAAACTTATATGTGAAAAAAATAAATATTCACTTATATATTATTTTTTTACCATTAAAACTATAGATATCAGTTCAAGTTGTGAAGGATATTTTTATAATGTAAATGAATATATAAATCCTTGCTTAACCATGAAGCTCATTAATTATTAAAAACAATGCAATTGATGCACAAGATTATTTTAAGCAAGCTAAATTTATTTAGAAATTTTTAAAATAATTTTATAGATATTCCGTTATTTAATGATAAATTAAAAGTTTAATATAAAAATTTTTTTAAATCGTTTTAATGAGAATTTGCTCGAAAGAACGATAAAAATAAGGGTGTTGACATTTTTTTATTATTTTTTTATATGATTATCGAATTGAATGAGAACAAAATATAAAAATGTTGTTTAGGTATTTTGTGCTCTCATAATATGAGTTTCTTTTCGAGCATTTTAAAAATTGTTTCTGTATCTAGATCGTTTTTCGATTATGTATCTGTATATAGATCCATTTTTCGACGATGTATATGTATCTAGATTCTTATTAAAAGTATATTTAACAACTTCGCCACTTGCTTTTGTAAATTACGCAGCGACGAATTACGCGGATCGCGCTTACTATAAAAGAGGTTTAATTGAAGTCAGTTGCAAGAGATGGAATTGTGTCATTTTTCATAAATAGTAAATATTTTGAATAAATTCTACCTATAACTATCAATCAAAATAGCGAAGAGCTGCTTACCTACATATAGTTCCGATGATAGGATTATTAGTTGCACTAATATATAATAAATATTTAAAACTACGAATTAGAGTTGTTAAAGTATCACGCTACATTTTTTTAGTAGCGGTAACTAATAGCCCGCCAATTTTAAAAAAAGATGGCAATAGCGGTGGCTCACTCCTTTTTTTTAAGAGAATACCCATTAAAACTTTATACAATCAAATATAATTCAAAAATAACTAATTATTTACATTTTTCATAATTCATTTTTTAAAATTATATTCATCATATTTAACTAAGTTTTTAAATTTAAATTTCTAAATCTGGATTAAGTTTTAATAATAAAAGTGTCGCTAATAGAGATGGGAAGATAATTTTTAGAAAGGTGATGTAACAACAAAATTTCACTAGAAAAATGATATTCTGAAATTTGCTTTTTACCAAAAATATTATAGATTTAAATTTAGATATATAAAATATCGAAAGATAATATCTACTGATAAATCATATGCATAAATTTTTATAAATTAATTATATTATATCTAACTGCTGTTTTATTAGAATATTCATTACTCAATTTTCAGAGAGAATTAAAAATATCTCAATAATTTTGGTGGACTAGATGAATTACATCTAATAAATCAAATTTAATCCAATCTAAATTGATGAACCTATACAACATCAGAAATAGGCGCTTCTCAAAAATTAGCTGAAAAACTCTCAATCAATTTTATAGTCAGGCCAATTTCTCTATAATCCCTCATTTATCAATCTGAAAACATTTTCTCCTTGTTACTAAATATACCTTATCGGCAGACATTTGATAGAAAGAATTTTGAAATTTGTTAGAAAGAATTTTGAAATTATATTAAGGAATGAAACAAAATCTGATAATTAGATTTTTTAGACGTTGCTAACATCGGCACAATAGCAGATTGTAGGGACTTATCACATAAGGGCAAATAAAGTATTTATGTTCTTATCTTATATAAATTAAGTGATTCTAACTAGTAGCTTAATAGGCTATTGGTAACGTTTGCTGATCTATTACCCAATAAAGATATATTACCTAATAAATCCGCGTGCCGCATTTTATTTTAAACCTAAAAATACTCAAAATGGTCATATTTGATAATTTTTCTTGTATATAAAATGTTCTATAAAAAAAAAATACCCAGTAGCCTCAAATGCTACTGTTGAGTTGTTATTTTGTAAGACTTAGGTTTATACCTTATGATCGCCACTCTAGACTTTGTGGAATATAATATGGAAATAATTTTAATTATTAAAATTCCATAAATACAGGATAAATTTTTTTACATTTTATCTCTTATTATTATATCCATTTATTTTGACATATGTTGGAATCAGAAATGTTAATTTTTGTGGACATAGATTAGATCGCCTAGTGATACTTAATCACCTCGCACTTTACCACGACGACACTTTACACTCTGCAATTTTTGAAAAAATGGCGGTAGCGGATAACCTGCTAATTTTTTGGAAAAAATGGTAGTGGGGAAACTATGCCCGGTTGAGCAAGCATTAATTGTTATTTTTACAAAAAAATATTTTGTTTATATTTTGATAATATTCATGATTGATATTTTGTTATAAAAATATGTAAGAGGAAATAAAATTTAAAAAAAAAATTTTTTATCCTCCCACTAGCACCATCTATTAAATTTGTAAATCGCCTGTTCACCTATATTCATTGCACGGGTGGGCGTGGGTGGATTATTTAAAACTCCACCCGCCGAAGACCTATAGTATTATTCATCCATGACACTTGTTATAAAATGTATCATGTTAGTTAGAATTAGAATGATAGTTTAAGTTATATTAAATGTTTTAATTATTTTAATATTAATCGAAATTTATTGGAAAAATAATAAGATCATATTTTATAACATGATTAAGTTTCCGATATTCCGATAATGGAACGAAAATTTTTTCTAGAGAACTTAAAAGAGAAATTTAAAATGGAAAACAAATGATCAAACAAAAATAAAGAAATATTCGGGCAAAATAAAAAATCAATATTCAAAAGTCAGGAGAAATTTTAAATTTAAATAAAATCATAAAATATTCAAAAACTGCTAGTTTGTAATTTGTATATTAGCTTGCTAGTTTGCAAGACTAGCTAATAGAGTTCTCTAATACCTTGTCCGGTACCCGGCCTGGAGTAATGTCAGAAGAAAATTTATTTGGGTCTAGCCGAATGATAATTCATGTAGTATAGTGTTTTATAATGTAACATTCCCCAATATTATAAATAGTTGTTTATTTTGGTGTTCAAAATATATTTTGGGTTAGGTCTTATATTTAAAAAAAACAGGGCCGGGGCCTGAAACCTTAACAAAAAGTTTAAAAAGGGACCGCCAAATTGCAAAGGATGTTTCTTGATTTTACTTCTCTCATTATTCGACCTAATAATCTTAAAAAAAATAAAGATAAGCTCTTGAAATGAAGCAATATATCTCCAGAGTTGTTGAACACTACTTTTAAAAGTAGCGCGCTACCGCTATCGCTCCTATCTATCAAAAAATGTAGCTAAATAATACATAAAAATAAACATTTATAAATATTTAAATATAGTTAGTTTTAATTATAAAAAAAAATTATGTAATAAAAATAACTATTTATGGTAATATACATTTTTTATTTATTTTATTGCATTTTAATAATATAATCATTTAAATATTATCATCCCCAAGTCTAGAGCGACGATTAGAAAGTATAAGTTTTGCCTTACTAAATAATCTCTCAACACTAGCACTTGAGGGCAAGAGAGTATTTAAAATTATATACATATTTTTAATATAAGAAATATTCAAAATTACTCATTTGAGTATTTTTAGATATAAAAAAAGCGTCAGTGGATTTTCTATTCTATTGTCTTTTATTTCAAAAAAATTATTAGTGGAAGTCATTTTTATGGTTGTAACTAGGCCATCTTTGTTTGGGATAAGACTATTCAACTTTTCCAAGAGCCTATCACGTTGATCTTTAGCATCATCGGAATTGATATATAATCAGATTGCAGCTAATACATTATCATCATTGTATAGGTGGGAAAGTTACAAAAAGTGTATTTAAAATATTTAATCATAAAATTTTATAAATTTTTTAGCTTTTAACTTTAAGTTAGAATAAATTATTCAGTCAAAATCATTACAATATAAATTTTATTTACCTTCTATCAATGCCTTTTAACATATAGTTTACTAGGGGCTGGTATAAGATTAGATTATTC